CAGGCTCTGTGCCAGCAGGAACATCCTTCTCAAGGGTAAGGGAACTTGAGAGCACTTTCCTGGGCTCACCTCTGCATCTCCTTCTGCCTCTGGAGGATCTTACTCCCCATATTGCCTCACCTCCACTCTGCCCACCAACCCGTGCATGAGCCTGCTAGGGCAGTGCCAGGCGTGGATGGCAGAAAATCTGCTCACATGGATGGCAGGGTGATGGGACAGTGCACGGGGGCTTCCTTGAGGGTGCTGATCACCATGGGACAGGGTTGGGACAGCACAACAGGCAACAGGGCTGATGAGCCCGCACAACATGCACTACAAAACTCACAACTTCCATGGCACATTGCATAGGATGGGAACACAAAACATCCCAGGGTGGAGATAAAATGAAGATTCAGGAAAAGGTCCAGTGCTCTCTGTGCCTCCGGAAGGTGTGGAAGAAGCCTGTTCACCAATGAACAGAGAGGAGCTCCTCCATCATCAGAGGCACAGTCACAGCTCCTGCTCAAGCCTGGGGTTGGGCACTGTGGAAGATGACCCCAACGTGATAATGGAGTGAAAAATCTCAATACAAGGAATGCTAAGTACAGGTGCAGAACTGGGAAGACATCATGATTGCATTTCTGGGAAAGGCACCATGTCTGCCCGGCCCTGTACACAAAGATCTGAGCCTGTGAAATTCAGAGCACGGGGATCCTACAGGCCAGCCAGATGTGCAGACAACCTGGATAGTGCCTGATCTGAATAACGACAAGGTCCACAAAGAGAAAGCACAGGCGGTCAGGAGGCTGATGCAGCCACTCCAACAAGAATGTTGGAATCTCTGTCCCGTTTCCAATTTTGGCCACCCCTCTGAGCCAGACCCCCTAAGCAGAAAAACTAGGCTCTTTTCCAAATGACCCATGGCCCACAGCAAGTGCATAGCTTCCGGTGGCCTTTCCCAGAGGACATAAGACCATCTGCTGGGGGAGCTACATGGCAAAAAGGAAAGTGCAGAAAAGTGGGTGTCTGAGGCAGTGCTGAAGCCTTGGCTTGGGCTGCCCGAATCCCACATCAGAGTGCCTGGGTTGAGACCAGGCTCTGCTACTCATTCTAGCTTTCTGGGAGGCAGCAGGTAGCCATCCATGTGGAAAACCCTACAATACTCCAGGCTCTTGGCTTGAGCCTGCTCCTACCCTGGCCACTGTTGGCCTCTCTCTCTCCCTCTTCTTCCCTCACTCCCCCTGCTTTCCCTCTCCCCTGCCTTTCTCCCTTTCCCTGCCCTCCCTGGGCCTCTCTCATCTTGTTCTTGCTCTGTCTGTCTCCTTGCCCTTGTCTCCATCTCCTTATAACTCTCCCTCCTCTCAGTCTCCCTCTCACTCCTCTCTCCCTCCCTCCTCTTCCCTCACTCTCCTGCTTTCCCTCTCCCCTGCCTTTCTCCCTCTACCTGCCCTCCCCCTTCCTCCCCTCCTCATCCCTTCCCTATTACCAGCTCAGGGCCCTTCTTCCCAACTTTCCCTCCTCTTCCCCTTCCTCTCCTTCTCCCACCTTCTCACTCTCCCCCGTCTGACTCCTTTCCTTTCACCTCCCCCCTTCACCTCTCCTCTCCCTCTAATCTCTCTCCTCTCCCACTCCCTGCTAAGCATCTCTCACCCACCTGCTCTGACCACTGCTCCAGCTGCATGCTCTGCCCCAGGACCTAGGCTGCTCAGGCGCCACCCTGACCTTGGAACAAGACCTGTGGTCCTTGCTGCTTTCACTCCCAGACACTCTGAAGAGAGCTCCCTTCTTCTCCTTTCTGGCTCCCCTGGCTTGCAAAGCTACTGAGCTGGACCCAGAGGGGGCTGAAGACAGGGTTGCACACACAACCAAGGTGAAAATTCCCTTGGGTCATATACTTACCTGCATGTGCCGCAAGGGGAAGAGAGAGCAGAACGCAAAGAAGGAGCTTGATGAATTCCCGAAGCACCATGACTGAGCAGTGCAAGAAGCCGTCCCCTCTTCGCGGCACAAGGAGGAAGAGTGGCTGATCAGCTGCACACCCAAGACTTCTGCAGCTTCCAGGACGGCCCGAGGAAATGCTGCTCTGGAAGGAATCTGCTGTCACAGGAATATTGCATGGAGCTGCAGGTTCATTCTGGTGACGAATATGAGTCTGCTTCCCTTTCCCTGCTCTCCATGGGCCTCTCTCAGAGGCTTCCTGCCCCCTTCCCAAAAGTGCACAAGCTAGTGCAGGTCAGGCTCTCCCTGGCCCCCGCAGGTGGTTACAAGCAACAGGACCTTCCTGCACCCCAACACCCTGGACTCAACTCTGCAGACGACAGGCTCCCGTCTACCTTGCAGTCATCCTGTAGGACAGGAGCAGGGCTCAGTTCACATTCCCTAGTCCAGGAGCAGGGCTGTTGGGGTCAGAAGCCACAGTACCCCTTGGACTCTCCTCACAGGACCCGAGGAAGAGACCATCCACATCACACAGCCTGGGGAAGCAGCAGAAAATGACCCAAAGCCTTGGGATCCTATATGCTTACAGGAGACCCGGAAGCTTCTGGCTCCTGATTTAGACTCAACTCAGCTCCAGAGATTGCTGCACATGGGGAGTGAACCAGCAGACAGATGTTTCTCTTTGTCCCTCATTCTTTTATGGGTCTTCCTTTCCAATAAAAGTGGATGCTTCTTTGTTTTATTGTTATTTTTTTTAAAAAAGCTGAATTAATGATGCAACTGGGTGTGGTGCAGTGGCCTAGGAACACAAGTCCCTGTCTTGCATGCGCCAGGATAACATATGGGCACCGGATCTAATCCTGACAACCCTACTTCTCATTCAGCTCCCTGATTGTGGAGGACGGCCCAAAGCCTTGGGACCCCATGCCCCTGTGGGAGACCTGGAGGAAGTTCCTGGCTCCTGGCTTCAGATCAGCGCAGCACAGGCTGTTGCAGCCACTTGGGGAGTGAGTCATCAGAGGGAAGCTTTTCCTCTCTGTCTCTCCTCCTGTCTGAATTTGCAATAAAAATAAATAAATAAACATTTAAGGAAAACAAATAGTGAGACTCATAATAAGTGAATAACCATAGTGTTATTTTCCTTGTAACTTGATGCTGTCCTCAGTATTTCCTCCAGAGGAGTGTGGATTTAGGGATCACGGTGTAGAGAAGGAAAGCCATACACAGTGGTTCACACTCTTAGTCAGCATTACAAAAAAAAAAAAAAATGCTTTAAAACATGGTGTGTGTTGGGGGGTGCTGGCTGCTCACTGTCAGAATTGGCTAATCCTGCTTATGGCCTGAGAGAGTAATGGAAGATGCCTCGAAATTTATATCCTCCTTTTCACTCTGTAGATTCTGCCACAGAGTGAGTCCATCCCCCTTCCAGCGTTGAGGCGGGGAGCCCATCTCGGGTCCTGTGGGGAGGGTGCGGGGAAGGTGTGGGGAGGCTGCGGGGAGCCCGTCCTGCTCCAGCGGGGAACGGCGGTAAGCCCGTGCCGAGTCGTGGCAACTGTGCCCTGTCGCGGTAAGCCTGTGCCTTTTCCGGCGGAAAGCAGCGGTAAGCTCGGGCCGAGTCGCGGTAACTCTGTGTCCTATTGCGGTAAGTGCGTGCCGCGTCCGGTGCAAAGCAGCCGTAAGCCCCTGCCGTGTCTGGCGGGGAGCAGCGGTAAGCACTTGCCCTGTCGCGGTAAACCCTTGCCCTGTCGCGGTAAGCACTTGCCCTGTCGCGGTAAGCCCTTGCCCTGTTGCGGTAAACCCGTGCAGTGTCGCGGTAAGCCCGTGCTGTGTCGGGCTAGGAGCAGCGGTAAGCCCGTGCCGACCGGTAAACTGTCCGTGTCCCGGTAAGCCTGTGCGTGTCCCGGGAAGCGACGGGGAGCCGCTCACCAGTTGGGCGGGAAAGTGGCAGGGAGCGGCGTGGAGCCCCCCAGTGCACTGTGGAGTTGTAGCTTAAAATAGAAAACAAACAAACAAAAACCCTCCAAAAACTAAACTGCCCTTCTTAAAACTTTGAGCCCTTCCCAGCTCATTCTGCCTGTAAGTCTCATCCCAGCACTTGACCCCTCCGCTTGCACTGATTCCAGCTCCTGCCCAACTCACCAGCGCAGACAGGAGGGCAGCCGTAGATCGGGGTCTTCCAGGCACAACCGCTCACTCCTAGCTGCTCTCGGCCAACACCGCTGCTGCTCGCCGTGCGGAGCCGCTTCCGAGTCGCAGGCAGCTGCAGGGAGGCCGACGGCGAACTGGACAGGACGGGGAATCCGGCAGGCAGGCAGAGAGCAGAAGTGAACTCTCTGGTGCGCTGCCCGGTGATATTTATATGTCGGGCTTACGGTGGTGAGAAGTGATACTTCCTTTCTAGACATGCTAACCGCAAACACAACCGCGGGCACGATTAACCACAAATACGATTTGCCTCTCGAGATCCGTTTCGGATTACTAACCCCATAGGAAATATTGGCCAGAGTCAAGAGCCCGAGAGAACAGGGGCCGGCTCACTACAATACCATTTCTGGCATCCATGTCGGTAGAGTAAACCGAAGGGAGCCTAGACCTGAGCAAGGAGCCCAGGCAGACCGGGCACGGCTCACCACGGAGACATCCTGTCTCAGTATACTCACACGGAAAGAGGCATGCCTAGGTGCCTGCAACCCGTGTAAACCCGGGCACGGCTCACAACAAATACGAATTTTCGGACCGGTATCGGTATACTCAAGGAAAGCGAGCCCAAAGCCCGGCGCCCTGGCAGACCAGGGAACGGCTCACCATGGAGCTTCCCGGATCATTATACTCACCCGAAGGGAGCATTGGCTGGAGTCCGGTGCCAGGGTAGACCCTGGAAAGACTCACCACGGAGACTTCCTCTCTAGGCAACTCACTCGGAAGGGAGCATGCGCTGCTGCTCGCTGCCCGGGCAGAACTGGGACAGTTCACAACAAATACGATTTTTCAGATCGGTATCGGTATACTCAAGGAAAGCGAGCCCAAAGCCCGGAGCCTGGCAGACCTGGGAACGGCTCACCATGGAGCTTCCCGGATCATTATACTCACCTCAAGGAAGCATTGGCTGGAGAAAGGAGCCTGGATATATTCGCGCGAGGCTCAGCACGGAGACTTCATTTTTCGCATCTCAGCAGAAGGGTGCATCCACCAGTGCCCGCTACCCGGGCTGACCCGGGCACAGCTCACCACAGAGACTTCCTATCTCTGCATACTCACTAGAAAGGGTCATGCCTAGGTGCCTGCAACCCGTGTAAACCCGGGCACGGCTCACAACAAATACGATTTTTCAGATCGGTATCGGTATACTCGGATCGTTATACTCACTCAGAAGTGAGCATTGGCTGGAGAAAGGAGTCTGTGCAGATTCGCGCAGGGCTCACCTCCGAGACTTCCTCTCTGGGCATTCTCACTCTGAACGGAGCAGGCGCCGGTGCTCGCAGCCCGGACAACACCGGGGCCGGCTCACAACAAATACGATTTTTAGGATCGGTATCGATATACTCAAGGAAAGCGAGCCCAAAGCCCGGCGCCCTGGCAGACTGGGCACGGCTCACCACGGAGACTTCCTCTCTCAGCATACTCACTCGGAAGGGAGCTTGCGCAGAGCCCGCAGCCCGGGCAGCACCGGCGCCGGCTCACAACAAATACGATTTTTCGGATCGGTATCGGTATAGTCAACGGAAGGAAGCATTCACCGGAGAATGAAGGCCAGGCAGACCGGGCAAGGTTCACCACAGAGACCTCCTCTGTCTGCATACTCACTTGGAAAGGGGCATGCCTAGGTGCCTGCAACCCGTGTAAACCCGGGCACGGCTCACAACAAATACGATTTTTCGGATCGGTATCGGTATAGTCAACGGAAGGAAGCATTTACCGGAGCATGGAGCCCAGGCCAACCGGGCATGGCTCACCACGGAGACTTCCTCTCTCGGCATACTCACTCGAAAGGGAGCATGCGCCGGTGCCCGCAGCCCTGGCAGCACCGGGGCCGGCTCACAACAAATACGATTTTTCGGATCGGTATCGGTATAGTCCACGGAAAACGAACCCAAAACCCGACGCCCTGGCAGACCAGGCGCGGCTCACCACAGGGACTTCGTCTCTCGGCATACTCACTAGAAAGGGTCATGCCTAGGTGCCTGCAACCCGTGTAAACCCGGGCACGGCTCACAACAAATACGATTTTTCAGATCGGTATCGGTATACTCAAGGAAAGCGAGCCCAAAGCCCGGCGCCCTGGCAGACCTGGGAACGGCTCACCATGGAGCTTCCCGGATCATTATATTCACCCCAAGGAAGCATTGGCTGGAGAAAGGAGCCTGGATATATTCGAGCGCGGCTCAGCACGGAGACTTCATTTTTGGCATACTGAGCAGAGTGTTGCATGCACCAGTGCCCTCCACCCGGGCTAATCCGGGCGCGGCTCACCACAGAGACTTCCTCTCTCAGCATACTCACTCGGAAGGGAGCATGCGCCGGTGCCCGCAGCTCTGGCAGCACCGGGGCCGGCTCACAACAAATACGATTTTTCGGATCGGTATCGGTATAGTCAACGGGAGGAAGCTTTGACCGGAACATGGAGCCCAGGCAGACCGGGCATGGCTCACCACCAAGACTTCCTCTCTCAGCATACTCACTCGGAAGGGAGCTTGCTCAGAGCCCGCAACACGGGCAGCACCGGGGCCGGCTCACAACAAATACGATTTTTCGGATCGGTATCGGTATAGTCAACGGAAGGAAGCATTGACCAGAGAATGAAGGCCAGGCAGACCGGGCAAGGTTCACCACTCACTTGGAAAGGGGCATGCCTAGGTGCCTGCAACCCGTGTAAACCCGGGCACGGCTCACAACAAATGCGAATTTTCGGATCGGTATCGGTACATCCAAGGAAAGCGAGCACAAAGCCCGGCGCCCTGGCAGACCGGCACGGCTCACCACGGAGACTTCCTCTCTCGGCATACTCACTCGGAAGGGAGCAGGCGCCGGGGCCCGCAGCCTAGACAGCAGCGGAGCCGGCTCACAACAAATATGATTTTTCGGATCTGTATCGGTATAGTCCACGGAAAACGAACCCAAAACCCGACGCCCTTGCAGACCAGGCGCGGCTCACCACAGGGACTGCCTCTCTCTGCATACTCACTAGAAAGGGGCATGCCTAGGTGCCTGCAACCCGTGTAAACCCGGGCACGACTCACAACAAATACGATTTTTCGGATCGGTATCGGTATACTCGGATCGGTATCGGTATACTCGGATCGTTATACTCACTCAGAAGTGAGCATTGGGTGGAGAAAGGAGTCTGTGCAGATTCGGGCAGGGCTCACCTCCGAGACTTCCTCTCAGGGCATTCTCACTGGGAAGGGAGCATGCGCCGGTGCTCGCAGCCCGGACAACAGCAGGGCGGCTCACAACAAATACGATTTTTCGGATCGGTATCGGTATACTCAAGGAAAGCGAACCCAAAGCCCGGCGCCCTGGCAGACCGGGCACGGCTCACCACGGAGACTTCCTCTCTCGGCATACTCACTCGGAAGGGAGCATGCGCCGGGGCCCGCAGCCCTGGCAGCACCGGGGCCGGCTCACAACAAATACGATTTTTCAGATCGGTATCGGTATAGTCCACGGAAAACGAACCCAAAACCCGACGCCCTTGCAGACCAGGCGCGGCTCACCACAGGGACTGCCTCTCTCGGCATACTCACTAGAAAGGGGCCTGCCTAGGTGCCTGCAACCCGTGTAAACCCGGGCACGACTCACAACAAATACGATTTTTCAGATCGGTATCGGTATACTCAAGGAAAGCGAGCCCAAAGCCCGGCGCCCTGGCAGACCTGGGAACGGCTCACCATGGAGCTTCCCGGATCATTATATTCACCCCAAGGAAGCATTGGCTGGAGAAAGGAGCCTGGATATATTCGAGCGCGGCTCAGCACGGAGACTTCATTTTTGGCATACTGAGCAGAGTGTTACATGCACCAGTGCCCTCCACCCGGGCTAATCCGGGCGCGGCTCACCACAGAGACTTCCTCTCTCAGCATACTCACTCGGAAGGGAGCATGCGCCGGTGCCCGCAGCTCTGGCAGCACCGGGGCCGGCTCACAACAAATACGATTTTTCGGATCGGTATCGGTATAGTCCACGGAAAACGAACCCAAAACCCGACGCCCTGGCAGACCAGGCGCGGCTCACCACAGGGACTTCCTCTCTCGGCATACTCACTAGAAAGGGGCATGCCTAGGTGCCTGCAACCCGTGTAAACCCGGGCACGGCTCACAACAAATGCGATTTTTCGAATTGGTATCGGTATACTCGGATCGGTATCGGTATACTCGGATCGTTATACTCACTCAGAAGTGAGCATTGGCTGGAGAAAGGAGTCTGTGCAGATTCGCGCAGGGCTCACCTCCGAGACCTCCTCACTTGGCATACTCACTCGGAAGGGAGCAGGCGCCGGTGCTCGCAGCCCGGACAACACCGGGGCCGGCTCACAACAAATACGATTTTTCGGATCGGTATCGGTATAGTCAACGGGAGGAAGCTTTGACCGGAACATGGAGCCCAGGCAGACCAGGCAAGGCTCACCACCAAGACTTCCTCTCTCAGCATACTCACTCGGAAGGGAGCTTGCGCAGAGCCCGCAACACGGGCAGCACCGGGGCCGGCTCACAACAAATACGATTTTTCGGATCGGTATCGGTATAGTCAACGGAAGGAAGCATTGACCGGAGAATGAAGGCCAGGCAGACCGGGCAAGGTTCACCACAGAGACCTCCTCTGTCTGCATACTCACTTGGAAAGGGGCATGCCTAGGTGCCTGCAACCCGTGTAAACCCGGGCACGGCTCACAACAAATACGATTTTTCAGATCGGTATCGGTACATCGAAGGAAAGCGAGCACAAAGCCCGGCGCCCTGGCAGACCGGGCACGGCTCACCACGGAGACTTCCTCTCTCGGCATACTCACTCGGAAGGGAGCATGCGCCGGGGCCGCAGCCTGGACAGCAGCGGAGCCGGCTCACAACAAAAGGATTTTTCGGATCTGTATCGGTATAGTCCACGGAAAATGAACCCAAAACCCGACGCCCTTGCAGACCAGGCGCGGCTCACCACAGGGACTGCCTCTCTCGGCATACTCACTAGAAAGGGGCATGCCTAGGTACCTGCAACCCGTGTAAACCCGGGCACGACTCACAACAAATACGAATTTTCGGATCGGTATCGGTATACTCGGATCGGTATCGGTATACTCGGATCGTTATACTCACTCAGAAGTGAGCATTGGGTGGAGAAAGGAGTCTGTGCAGATTCGCGCAGGGCTCACCTCCGAGACTTCCTCTCTGGGCATTCTCACTGGGAAGGGAGCATGCGCCTGTGCTCGCAGCCCGGACAACAGCAGGGCGGCTCACAACAAATACGATTTTTCGGATCGGTATCGGTATACTCAAGGAAAGCGAACCCAAAGCCCGGCGCCCTGGCAGACCGGGCACGGCTCACCACGGAGACTTCCTCTCTCGGCATACTCACTCGGAAGGGAGCATGCGCCGGTGCCCGCAGCCCTGGCAGCACCGGGGCCGGCTCACAACAAATACGATTTTTCGGATCGGTATCGGTATACTCAAAGAAAGCGAACCCAAAGCCCGGCGCCCTGGCAGACCGGCACGGCTCACCACGGAGACTTCCTCTCTCGGCATACTCACTCGGAAGGGAGCATGCGCCGGGGCCCGCAGCCCTGGCAGCACCGGGGCCGGCTCACAACAAATACGATTTTTCGGATCGGTATCGGTATACTCGGATCGGTATCGGTATACTCGGATCGTTATACTCACTCAGAAGTGAGCATTGGGTGGAGAAAGGAGTCTGTGCAGATTCGCGCAGGGCTCACCTCCGAGACTTCCTCTCTAGGCATTCTCACTCCGAAGGGAGCATGCGCCGCTCCAGGCAGCCCGGGCAGCACCGGCGCCGGCTCACAACAAATACGATTTTTCGGATCGGTATCGGTATAGTCAACGGAAGGAAGCATTGACCGGAGTATGGAGCGCAGGTGGACCAGGCAAGGCTCACTACAGTGACTTCCTGTCTCTGTACAGTCACTCGGAAAGGGGCATGCCTAGGTGCCTGCAACCCGTGTAAACCCGGGCACGACTCACAACAAATATGATTTTTCGGATCGGTTTCTGTATAGTCAACGGAAGGAAGCATGACTGGATCATTGAGCCCAGGCAGACCGGGCTTGGCTCACCACAGAGACTTCCTCTCTGGACGTACTCACTGGGAAGGGAGCACACGCTGGTGTCCGCAGCCTGGGCAGATATGAGGACACTTCACAACAAATACGACTTCTCAGGTTGGTATCGGTATAGTCAACGGAAGGGGTAGTGGCCTGATCAAGGAGGCCAGGGAGAGCCGGGCATGGCTAACTATGGAAACTGTGTCTCTGCCTACTTACTCAGGGAGCAACCGCAGGAGCCTGGTGACAGGGTATACCTGGACAAGTGTCACCACAGAGATTTCCCATGCGGCATACTCACTGGGAAGGGAGCTTTGGGTGGAGAAAGGAGCCTGGGTGGACTCGCGCGGCTCACCACGGAGACTTCCTTTTTGGCATGCTCAGTAGACTGTTGCTTCCACCAGTGCCCTCCACCCGGGCTGACCAGGGCGCGGCTCACCACAGAGACTTCCTTTTTGGCATGCTCAGTAGACTGTTGCTTCCACCAGTGCCCTCCACCCGGGCTGACCAGGGCGCGGCTCACCACAGAGACTTCCTCTCTCGGCATAGTCACTTCGAAGGGAGCATGCGCCGGTGCCCGCTGCCCGGGCAGAACTGGGATGGCTCACAACAAATACTGTTTCTCAGATTGGTATTGGTATACTCAACGGAAGGGAGAGCAAAGTCCGGATCCCAGGCAGACCTGGGAACAGCTCACCATGGGGCTTCCTGGATCATTATACTCACCTGAAAGGGAGCATGCCTCTGAACCTGGACTTTGGGCAGGTCCGCGGATGACTCACTATGGAGACTTCCTTTTTGGGCACATTCACTCCGAAGGGAGCATTGGCTGGAGCACGGAGCCTGGGCAGACCCGGCAAGGTTCACAACGAAGATGATTTCCCAAATCGGTATGGTATACTCAACAGAAGCGAGCATTGACAGGTCAATGAGCCCAGGCTGACCCGGGCATGGCTAACCATGGAGACTGTGTCTCTCTGCATACTTACTCCCTGGGAAGGAAGCATCCTCAGGAGCCTGGTGATAGGGCAAACCCGGGCATGGCTCACCACGTAGACTTACCTCTCAGGCATACTTACCCCAAGGGCGCATGTTCAGGTCCCTGCAGCCTAGGCACACCCAGGGACAGCTTACATACTCACCCCATGGGAGCATGTTCCTGTGCTCGCAGCCTTGGAGGACCAAGGGACAGCTTACCATAAAGATGATTTCCAGTATAGGTATACTCACCCCGAAGGGAGCATTGGCCAGAGCCCGGTGCCAGTGCAGACCCAGGGATACCCTCAGCACAGATCATTTCTCCGATTGGTGTCTGTATACTCACCAGGAAGGGAGCATTCGCTGGAGACAGGTGCCAGGGTAGACCTGGGGACGGCTCACCATGGAGCTTCCCCGAGCATTATTCTCACCCTAAAAGAGAATGCGTCTGAGCCCGGACAGGGGCTGGCCCGTGGATGGCTCACCATGGAGACCTCTCTGCTAGGTATACTCACCCAAAGGAGGCATATGCTGGAGGCCTGAACCCGGAAGCTAGGCAAGCCCAGGGACAGCTCCACCACAGAGACTTCCCTGCTCCTTATATTCATGCTGAAGGGCACATTCCCTGAAGCCCGGGCATGCCCTCGGACGGCTCACCACGTGCACGAGGTGGCTGAAGTCATGGATCCATGCACGAAGAAGCCCTGTCCTGACACCCATCTGAGACCCATCTACAGTGGTAGGCCGCAGGAAGTTTCAATCTCCATGGCCATGGTTGCGCCCTTCCCCAATCGCATCCACCACTCAATGAGGGTGGTGGGTGTCACAGAGACTTCCCCCCTTGGTGTACTTACCCCAAGGGAGCAGCCTCTGGAACCCAGGCAGGCCCGGGGACAGCTCACCATATGCACGTGATGGCTGAAGTCTGTGGGCGTAGATGCCCAGTCCTCAGACCCACCTGCAGCCTGGTGGGTAGTTTTGTATTTTAATGATCTTTGAAAGGCTGATTAGGGCTCAAAGGGTCAAGGACTACAGGAAAGTTGGTAAGAACATGGTTTCCACATTCTCTTTTTTTCCTTCCTGTATCTGGGTGAAGGGGAGAGACAAAGGGAGAAGCCACACTCACCCTCCCACCCATCCCAGGATCCCCGATGTGGGGCACTGGGCACTGTTCAAGTGGTTTGATAGTCTCACTGTTCCAAACATGATGATTTTTCTTCAGAATCCACTGGCTGACATAGTCCACCTTAGAATATCCTTTTGCCAAGATTTTCACTGCCAACACATGGCTGGGGTAGTTGATTGATTTGGTCTGTCCATTGTCCTCTGTTGTAGTAGCAGGTGTCTTCTGCAGGTTCTGATGATCTGCCATATCCTCCATGTGCATCTGGATATGCTGTCCACTGCTATTTCTGAACCTCTGAGGAGGCTCAGCTTTGACACATGCACTCCATGGTCAGATCATGGAACTTGCACTTCTCTTCATGGTTGGGGTCTGGGATCAGCAGTTCAGTTGGAGGGATCCTCAAAGAAACTTCGTCTGAGGTGATCCTAGGCCTGATTCTTGTGTGTGCTTGCCAGTACAGGGTCCAGCAGTCTGTTGCCCCATTCAGCTTATGCATATGCTGGTGGTTGCAAATGCTGGATCAGTTCTGTTTGCAGCCCTGTCTTCCATGTGAACCAATGGGTGTTGTAGTCCTGCCTGATCCTGCCAGCACACACTCAGCCCTCACTCAAATTAGTGGGAGCTGCAGCCTAGTTGGAGTGACTTGCAGTAACCCCCACGAGGCCCGTCTCCTGTACTGGTTTCCGTGCTTGCCACTGGACAGCAGACTGGACTAGTCTGTCCCACATTCCATTCAGCTCTCATATATGCCAATGGTATTGAAGTTTGGCTCAACCCAGCCAGCCCCACTTTCCAGCCCACACCCCTGCTGATGGGTGCCACTCTCTGTCTAGCCACCACTGCCCCAGTCCTGGTTTTCATGTTCTCCAGTGGGAGTGGTAACTCAAGAGGGAAGTGCCTACTATTTCCCTGCTGGGCCCACTCCTGGATCATGCACTCTCCAGGTGGTTCTGCAGTTTAACTTGACAGAACTTGAAGGAAATGTGATATCCCTATAGGAAAGTGTATAGATCTTAAACAAGCTTGATTGATTTTCATCTTGATAAAACTAAAAATGGAACTAATTG